TTATCCTGGGTAGAAAATCCAATACAATATTCAATAGAAGTGGTGAGAATGGATATCCTTTTCTTGTTCCTGATTTTGAAGGGAAAGCACATTGTCTTTTATTAATAAACATGTTAGATTTACAATTTTCTTTTTTGTGGGGTAGATGCAATTTATTGGGTAAAGGATGATTTCTTCTATTCCTAGTTTGTTGAATGTCTCCATCATGAAAAGATGCTAGATTTTATTAGGTGGTTTTTTTGTATCTATTGAGATGATCATACTATCATTATTCTCAAACTGAACTTACTGGGAATACACATAATCCCTGGTAAAAACTGATTAGTTTAAACAGATATTTAAAAATATTCAAATTGAAGAAGAAACTTCTTTCAGCTGAAAGGACCAGTAAAAGATTAGGACCCCAATTTAAGTTTGAGTTTTATTATATTTAGTAATAATAGTATCTGCAATGATAATAAAATAATTTAAAAAGAGGTTTATTAAGATAGAATTCACACATACCTTTCACCTATTTAAAGTATATAATTCAATAGTTTTGAGTATATTAAATTTTAAAATTATGGCAGAATATTTTAAGTTTACAAATCAGTGGCGATAATCATATTCTCAATGTTGTGCAACTATTGCTACTATTTCCAAGTTTTCTATCACCCCAAACAGAAACTCCTGTTCTTACTGCCAATTCCTGTTCTTACTGCCAATTCCTGTTGACTTCTAATCTACTGTCTCTATGAATTTGATTATTCTAGGCATTTCCTATAAGTAGAAGCACACTAGATTTGTCTTTTTGTGTCTCATTTATTTCATTTAGCACAGTGTTTCAAAATCATTTATGAGGGTGAATATTATGCTCTTGTGGTGTGAGCATTCTGTAAATGTCTAGTAGCTCTAATTGCTCTATAGTATTATTTAAGCCCATTATATCCTTATCACTGTTCTGTCTAGTTCTATTTTTTTACTAAAAATGGAGTATTAAAGCCTCCAACTATTATTTTGTAACTGTCTATTTCTTATTTTAATTTTGTCACTTTTTGCTTTGCATTTTTTTCTTTATTAGGTATATCTGTTTATACTTGTTATCTTTTCTTGCTCTATTGAATCTTTAATGCATATATAATGTCTTGGGGGACTGACGGATGGAGAGATGATAGACAATGGGTATAGGGGGGTGCAGGTGGAAAGGAGGAATAACTTACAAGGTTGTCCAGCACAGTAAGGTAACTTTAGTTGGCAATAATTAATTGAATATTTTACAACAGCTAGTGAAGAGGATTTTTAATGTTTCCAACACAAATAAATGATATATGTCTGAGGTGATAAATAAGCCAATTACCCTGATGTGATCATTATACATTGTATACATATATTGAAACATCACCCTGTACCCCATAAATATATATAACTACTGTGCAAATAAAAAATAAAAATACATTGTCCTTTTTTAAAATCTCTTATAATCTTTTACTTTCAGTCTCTTTGTGGTCTCATATATAAACATAATCTCTAATAGCTTATAAATGGATCTTCTTGTTTTTCTAAATTCAATTTTCCAATCTCTATTTTTTCTTACCTTTATTTTATTTATTTATATGTGGTGCTGAGGATCATACCCAGTGTCTCACACATGTGAGGCAGGTGCTAGACCACTGCCCCAATCTCTATTTTTTAATAGTTGAATTTCGCACACTTACATTTGTCTAATTCTTATTGCTTTCCATCTAGTTATTGTGATTTAGTTCTTAAAATAACTTATTCCTGATATTTATCTATTGTTTTCTTTATGTATTATATGAATAGATTTGGATCTTCAAGTTTTTTTATATATATTTTTAATACTTTTTTTATTTGGTTGATTTTTTAGTGTGTATGTGTGTGTGTGTGTGTGTGTATATATATATATATATATATATACTAGCGATTGAACACAGGGAAACTTAACCATTGAGCCATATCCCCAGCCTTTTTCATCTTTCACTTTGAGACAGGGCCTCGCTAAGTTGCTTAGGCTGGCTTTGAATTTGCAATCCTCCTGCCTCAGCCTCCTAAATCACTGGGATTGCAAGCTTGCACCACCATTCCTGGCTACTGTATACTATTTTAATGCTCTTCTTTTCTTTTTCAATGTATTACACACAAAAAAAATAAAATACTTTTTTTTTCCTGGTTACCTTGGGATTACAATTAACATTGTAAAACATGTTAAACTTGTAACAAACCTGTTTGAATTATATCAATTCAGTTCTTGCAATATATAAATTTATAAATATATGTACTTGCATATTATATTCCATAGGAAAAAGAAAAATTAAAAGTGATACCAAAAGTACAATAACAATGGCTTTTTATTTACCTATGTAATTACTTTCATTGAAAAGTTTTTTCTCTTTCCTACCTTCCAGGTTTAAGTTGCTGTTTAGGGTCCTTTCATTTCAGTCTGAAAGGTTCCCTTCAGTTTTTCTTGCAGGGAAGGCCTACTGATAATGAACCCTCAACTCAGCTTTTGCTTATCTGAAATTTCATAATTTTTCTTTTATTCTTGAAAAATAACTTTACCCATTATACAATCTTGATTGACAGTTTCTTCTTTCATGACTTTAAATATGTCATCCCATTACCTCTGGTCCCCATGCTTTTTTAACAAAGATTGAGATCTTAAGATTATCAAGGATATGCTGTAGGTAGCAAGTCCTTTTCTCCTGATGCTTTCCAAATTCTTTTGTCTTCATCTTTGAACAACTTGACTATAGTATATCTTGGTGGGATCTCTTTGTCCTGCTTAGAGTATGTTGAACTGTTTGGGGATGTATATTCAGGTTTTTCTTTTTTTAGGGAAGTTGGGCTATTACTTCTTCATATATTATTTCTGCCTCTTTCTTTTCTCCTTCTGATATGATGCAAACCCTCATTATTCCTCTGGCTCCAAGATGCTGCACCAGGAATTCTTGCCACCTAATATCTGCCTGTAACAGGCTGCAGCAGAAGCATTGTAGCTGCTGGAGATTAAAAGCTGAATTGGACCAAAGTGTACTGAATTTACCATAGACTTCTCCCCTGGTTGCTACAAAGTGTTCTACTTAGACCTAGAGTTCCAAACACCATTCCTGCTAATTTAATTGTTTAAGGCACAGTATTATGGTTTAGATTAGAGGCCTCAAAAAAATCAATGCAAGAAAGTTTAGAAATAAAGTGACTGGGTTATGAAAGCCTTAACTCAATCAGTGAATTAACTTCCTGATAGGGATTAACTTGGTGGTAACTGTAAGCAGGCAGAGCATGGCTGGAGGAGGCAGATCACTGGGGGTGTGCCCTTGGGTTTATATTTTGTCCTGGTGGGGAGAGAGCTCTCTTTTTCTCTCTCCCTTTCTCTCTCTGTTTCCTGGTTGTTATGTCCTGAACCGCCTTCTTCCATCACATTCTTCCACTATGATATTCTGCCTCACTTCAAGCCCCAAAGAATGGAGACATCCTTCTATGGACCAAGACCTCTGAAACTGTGAACCCCAAAATAAACTTTTCCTCCTCTAAATTTGTTCTTGTTGGGTCTTTTGGTCACAGCAATGAAAAATCTGATTAGAACACAGATTCCTGGAAGTTTTTACTCTGCCACTCCAATAATAGCTAATATTTACTGAGCATTTATTCTGTGCCAAGTGTTGCTCTAAGTACTTTTCATTTTTATTCTGGTCTTCTGAGGGAGTGTATTGTTAGATCCCCACTTTACAAAAGAGGAGAAATGAAAGATGAACAATGTGTCTAATCAGAGAAATTGGGAATGGTTGATCAAAGGGCACAAACAAGGCAGTAGCCTCAGATTCATACTTAAAACTACTAAACTCTCCATGCAGACACTTTGGTAGAGCTAGAAAATGCCTTTAAAAATCAAGTCCAGGTTACTCATTTTGAAAATAAGAAAACAAAAGTTTAATGAATTATCCAAAGGTCATACACAAAGTCTACTAATGGGAGGTCTGGGAGTGTAGCTCAGTAGTATAGTGCTTGCCTACTAGCATGCATAAATCTCTGAGTTCAAACTCCAGCACAGCAAACAAACAAACAAACAAACAACAAAAAAAGGAGTCTAGGAATGGTAAAGCAATGATGATAACATTGCCTCCGGTCAGCTGTTTTCTACCGTATGTCTTCACTTCTCTGAGTACCTGGGCTTTAGGTCTGAATGAATTTTTTTTTTTTTTCCCCCAAAGAAGGACTTTTGTATGCAATGATAAATTCCAGAATTCACTTTCTTTAAAAATACTACCCATCCTCCAAAACAGTTTATTCCACATTTTCTCCAAGAAGCCTGCTCTCATGAATTAAGTTCAGACAGAAAAAACATAGCCGCTTTTGTTATTATCTGCACAGCATTCTCTGCCTTAACCTGCAATTAATTATGCATTTGTGTATTTAAAAATCTTCTAAAGGTAGAAGAAATATGTTTCCTATTTATTCATCTGCTCCATATCTTTTGACTAGATGACCTGTATAAATAGGCTCTGAACAAATATTTATTGAATGAAATGAATCATTTCTGCCAAGAACCACAGGTTAATTCTACCAAAAATATCACTTCTATAGTGTCACATTTACATTAAGGTATCTTTAATGGCTCAGAAAAGTCAAGTCTTTAATGCTGTATTTGTCTCCACAAGTGTTTTGTACAGTCTTCAGGGATGAAGCTTTATGTTTCCCAGTACCTAATGTTATATCCTCAATGTAGTGGGTAAGTGCTGGAACATAAATTAGAGTGTGATTTAAGAATTAAAAAAAAAAAAAAAGAATTAGTTTTGGTTTCATTTATTGAAAGAAAAGCATGATATAATTTTGATGAGGTAATGCTATACATCAAATGAGATAAAATGGCTGTCTTTGCAATGAGTTTTATTTACACACATGGTGAGTATAATGGAGTACTTTATGTCCTCCATAATTTTTTTATTTTGTGATAAGTTCTATATATTTCCCTTAAAAATCTCTCTATATGTGATGTCTTATACAGATATTACTTCTATATAATACTTATTTGATATTTTGTTCTGTTAGTTCAACTGAATGTAATAAAACTAAAATTGTGTCTGGTTTACAGAAATCCAATTACTCTCAAACTTTATTATTTATTTCATTTTGAAAGTACCTTCTCTTTCCTCCTAGCACCCAGATTTTCAACTATATGGATCCACATAGCTGTAGCCTTATGCTATCATGGTTCACAAATATAGTACTTTCTATAGGTCTATGCTGCTTGTGAGGAGTATCATATATATTAAATAAACAGTTTTCACTAATGAATACATCAATTTACATACCTGCTCAAGTTCATGAGAATTTGTTTCATGTCCTCATCAATATTTTTTTGTATCTGATGTTATTTTCTATTTCTCTAATTTGTTTCAATGTTGAGAGGTTTAGAATTTGAACATTTCTTCCACAAAAAGTGGTTATTAAAGTCTCTTACCTCATTTTTAAGAAAAAAATAAATAAAAAGCAGAATCATTTAAAAATACCTAACAGTGTTTCTAGGTAGAGAATTATGGATTTTTTTTTTTAATTGGAGAGATTCCAAGATAAAAAAGATACTCTTTTGTATCAGGTGACTATCACCTCTAGAGGTAAGCAGCTGGAGCTTACAATCCCTTCTATTAAACTCAGGAGTGCTCTACTGCTGAGTTACATGCCTAGCCCTTTAATTTTTTTCAGACAGCATCTCTATTTGCCAAGGTTGGCCTCAAATTGTGTTCCTCCTGCTTCAGTCTCTCAAGTTGTTGGGATAACAGGCAAGCAGCACCATGCCAAGTCCCATGGCTACCCATTCAAAATTGCATATTGGCCAAATGCAAGGAAGTACATTTGTATCTGTGACTAGATCTGGATAGTAAAGAAAATAAATTGTTTAAGGTTGAGAGGCAAAAAAGCTTCAAGCTTAAGGAAAAAACCCCAAATCTTATTCTAAATAACAGATTCTATTCCACAACTATTTTCTAGTATATTTTTTATATTATTTTTAGCCAAAGAGAAAAAAATATTTCCCCTTTGATATTGTATTCTCTTTTTCCTTTTTAAACCTTTAATACTAAAATCCTTAATAATTTATGGGACAACAATGTGAAGAAATATTATATATGTAATAAAATAGTACAAAAATACTAAATAAATCATGCACAAAATGTTTAATAAAACATCATGTAAAAATGCATGATGTAGCTGGGTACAATGGTGCACACCTGTAATCCCAGTGTCCCAGGAGGCTGAGGAAGGAGGATAGTAAGTTTGAGGCCAGCTTAGGCAATTTAGTCAGGCCCTGTCTCAAAATAAAAAATAAAAAGGAGGGGGCATGTAGCTCAGTGGTAGAATATCCCTGGGTTCAACCTCCAGTACTTTTTTTTGTTAAACAACAAACAAACAAACAAAAACAAAAACAAAAACACAAACCAAAACAATGGATCATGAAAAATAGCAAGGGTAATTTAATTGCAACAATTAGAAAAATAAGGATACAAATGAGTACAAACTAAAGAAAATATGAAAAAAATATCAAAATAGTTGTATATGTTGGTTCTAGAGGTTGAGTATCTCTTATCCAACATGTTTTGGATCAGAAATGTTTCTAAATTTGTATTTTTTATAATTTTGGACTATTTGCACATACATAATGACCTATCTTGGAGATGAGTCCCAAGTATGAATTAAAAAAACTCTGATGTTTTATATATACTTTGTACACATAGCTTGAGGTAATTTTATACACTATTTTTAGTGTATCTACATTAGGTCAGTTGTGAATTGTCTACTTGCTGTGGTGTTCAGAAAGTTTCAGATTTGGGGGATTTCAGATTAGGGATTCTCAATTTGTATTAAAATGGTGGGATAATTAGGTATGTTTCATCTATGACATATAATAGTCATCAGAAATAAAATCCTTTATAATTATACTTAAGTTTATTGAAAATGTTTCCAAATATCTAGAATGTCACAACAAAGATTTTAATTTTCACTTTCAAAAAGTAAACAACAGGGCTGGGGCTGTAGCTCAATAGTAGAACACCTGCCTCGCACGTTTGAAGCACTGGGTTCAATCCTCAGCACCACATAAAAATAAATAAAGAAAGATATTGGGCCCATATAAAACTAAACAAAAAAAATTTTAAAAAGTAAACAAAAATAAAAACAGCATTTCCTTCATCATTCTTTCCCTTATATACATTTATCGGTATGTTATTTATACATAATACTGGGATTTGTTGTTACATTCTCCTACATGTACAAAATATAACAATATAATTTGGTCAGTTTTGTTCCCAAGCACCTCCCCCACCCCCTGCCCATTTTACCCCTTACAGAAACTAAGTTCTTAGGTGTCCTCAGACTTAAAAACAGAAATCACCACCTCTCCTACCCATCATCTGTAATACAGGTAATATTAATTTCAACATCCATAAAAGTCATTTAAAATTAGGTGTTGTTTTAAATAGATAGTATATTATGACATCAAAAAGATGGTTACAAATACAACTCAGAAGAATGGGGAAATCTACCCTCTTTTTTAAAAAATAATTTTTAGTTGTTGATAGATCTTTCTTTTATTTATTTATATGTGGTGCTGAGAATCGAACCCTGTGCCTCACACATACCAGGCAAGTGCAGTACCACTGAACTACAACCCCAGCCTGAAATCTACCCTCTTAATGCCAAATGCAAAGAGAAGAAAATTATGCTAAGGGATAGACTTGTAACTAGGTAAATTATCTACTGCGATGTGATCACTTCAAGATTTATATAAAAGAAGAACAGAGGACAAGAATTAACTTTTTTGTTGTTGTTATAAAAGTAATAAATGACCATTATATAAAACCTGGAAAAATCAGAAGCAGAAAGGAGAAAACAATCATTAGGCAGAAAGCAGTGAACAATGGTGTGATCTTTCTACCTCTTTCTTTGAATACTGCACAGTTGTAATCACATTTCACAAATAAATTTCAGCATCCCCCTCCTCAATGTTATTATGTAACTTTTTCTGTAGTACTGAGGATTGAGTATAGGGGCATTCTACCACTGAGCTACATACCTAGCCCTTTATTATTATTATTATTTTAAATTTTGAGGCATTATTTTGCTATTTTGCTTCCTAAGTAGCCTCAGTTGGCCTTGAACTTGTGATCCTCCTTCCTCAGCTTCCTGAGTCACTGGTATTACAGGTAAGTGCTGCCATAACTAGCTCATCAGACTTTCTTTATGTCATCATATGATAAATATAATGAATCAATTATCGTTTATAAGGTTTCTACACTAACCCACAGAAACCCTTACAAATGCAACGGGCAGAAGGACAGCTACTGGGAGAGATGGCATGAAAGACCCATGGAAAGAGAGGGTTATTAAGAATCTTCTGGAGGGAAATAGAGTGAGGAACCCAAAGGAGAAGTAGGGAAGAGGGAGGAAAAAGGGAAACAGAGACAGTAGTAGGGCAGGGGATGGAAGGAAAGCAACATGTGAGGGTCAAGAGAGTAGTAAGGGAAAGGGTAGGGTGAGGACTGTGGCCAGGCTGTTAAGGAACCAGGTCAGTAATGGCAAAGATGTGAAGGAAGCAAACAGTATGCAAATTGGAAAAAGCCAACGGAAAAATTAGTTGATTAGAAGTTTACTACTGGGCAGCCAATCTCAGCAGAGAAGTGTAAACTAAAGTTGAATACAATTAAAGGGGGTGAGAACAGAATGTAAACCCCTCACATGGAGAGAGGCTGCTTCTTCAAGTAGTTTAGCAAGGTGAGTCTGGAGGCACAGTTAACTGTGTAACCTGAGTCTGATTTCAACATATGCACTATGGAGCTATCATTAAAATAACAGCGAAGACTACTGAGTTACTTTTCCATGCCAGGCACATTGCTTAGGCATGTTGCTGCTATAGCTCAATAAAGCATCATGGCTACCCTACAAAGTAGGTGCTATTATTATTATTAAAAGCTTAAAATTGAAGAAACTGAGGTTGAAATATTAGTTTACTAAGATGATAAGCCCAGGAATAGAGAAGCTGGGTTTGAGCTAACACCTGGAAAGCGTATTCTTAGGTCACAAAAAAACTGACTTGTTTTTTGGTACAGCAAAGAGCCCCAAAGGGACAATTTAAAGGGAAATGCTCATTTTTTTGGAGGAAAATACTAATTCTTTTTCTCTTTTTCAGTCCTGGAGATGGAATGCAGATAATCATGCAGTCATGCTTGAAAGTGCTCTACCACTGAATTACACGCTAGTTCTTTTTTATTTTGAGACAAGGTCTCACAAAGTTGCCCAGGGTAGCCTTGGACTTGTGATCTTCCTGCCTGAGCCTCCCAAGTAGCAAGGATTCCAGGTGTGTATCACCACACTTGGCTGATATTAATTCTCGAAGTGGTAGAATGTAGGAGTCACTGCAGACTTAAGAATGGCTATGTTACCTTAAGATACAAATAAAGGGAGGATGGGACAATAGTAAGAAAAAAAGGAAGTATTTTCTGATTTTGAAAGTCATGAATGGCTAATATAGATAACTCAGAAAAGTAGAAAGAAAAAAGTCATCATCAGGCAGATGGCCATAAAGAACATGTATTTCTCCTGTAACATGCAAAAGCGATTGCACTGGGCTTCATGGAATTTTGTACTTGAACAAACTCAGGAGATTTGGGCAAACTGCCAATACAGTCCAAACTTCTTAGCAGAAACTAGAATGTTTTTCAGGGAACTGAGTATCCTGAGGGAATGGCTAGATGTAAAAGGACAACTGAAATTTGGAGGAGAGGAAAAAAAGAGTGTGCTTGGTTGCTCGACTTCCAAAGAACAAGGATGGAACTGGTAAGTGATTCCCTTTGGGTATCCAGAAAAGAGGTTGGGCCCAAGAATCTGAAAAGCTAATGGAGAGAAATACTATGCATGAAGAGGGATAGTTGGAAAGGATAGTCAAGACTATAAAATATCCCATAAGGTGAAAGAACAGTAATTCCTATCAGAAGTTGGGCAAATGTCAAGCTGCACATTGACATTTGCACTCATAATCTAGGATAGTTAACATTAAGGAAAATTATGAAATGTTCTTTAGTTCTGTCAATAAGAACAACCATTTTTGATAAGCTCATCTGCTGTTTCATCAGAATTGTCTGGTCAACATAAGCAAGGAAATTTTACCACCTTAAGAATATCTGTGTCTATTTTTCCCAAAGGTAACAAGCTTTTTGCATCAACCAGATAACATTATATAAATGTTATTCCTTATCAGCAGGTGTTTGTTCATAGGTTACTTAAAAGTAAGAGTAACAATCAAAGTTCCTGCTTATAAAGTCAACCTGATCTGAAAGAGAAAATGGATTCAGGTCATGGAAGACACAAGACCATACCAAAAGGAATCTTTCATTCACGAGTTATTTTACTTCATTTTCATCAAAATAGGAAGCAAGAGAACAAGATCCCAGGAACACAGCACCATGTACTGCTATCCCTTCTTTTCATATTTAAACCTACTCCAAAAGTATTGGGAGCTCTTGGGTCAAACCATACCTCAGTCTCTTTTGTCTACTCAATAATTATTACTGTATTAAAAAAAAAACTGGAAAAGAAAGAAAAGACAGTTATCAGTACCATTTCTCTTTAGACAAATATATAATTATTTCTTTACGCTATCATAGACATATTACAGAAAGGGAAGTGGGGCATTAGTGACCAGGTGACTGGTTCACAAGGACCCTGGAGCTGACAAAAGAGAATGGGCTTGCATTCTTCAACTTGGTCAAGTGGACTCTGCAAAGCTCTTACTTCCAATGGAATATACATATGCACGGTAGACAGTGACAGGGCACAATTGCTTTTAAAAAATATAATACACAGCTAAAACTAAAGTCAACACACTGGAATATACTTATAGGTAGTTAAATGCAACACTGCAACAAATTTGTTCAGTACTAAATTGCTATTATTCCCCAAACTGCAAAGTTACTTCCCCCCCCCCTTTGCACACTCAAATTTCTTATGTTTTCCTTTTGTGATACACAGCTAATTGTTTAAAGGAATACTCCAAGAGGAACTAGTGACAAATTAGAAAAATAAGAGCAAACACTCCTTAAAGACTAAAACAAACCACATCACCAACAACTACAAAGGTTATTAAAAATCTAGATAACAGTCTTGCTGCACGAGATATATCACTGCATGTTTCACTGGCTTGCTACAGATAATTTGGAATTCAGACTTTTTCTTATGTTTAAAAAATGGTAAAGTTTACTATTTATCTAGAATTGGATTTGTAGAAATAATCATCATGCACAAATTCTGAGTGTAACCTTAAATTGCCCACTAACTACTGAAAGGCATTTAATCGTCACATTGAAGGATTTTCCTCATTGGGGAAAATAATTTCTATTCAACTGGAGCTACACTCAAGATATACTCTTCATTTTTTATATTTTTTTGCATCATAATTATAAATAATAGTGGGATTCGCTGGTACATATTTGTACATGCATTCAATAGAACAATACAGTTAGTCAGTTTCATTGCCCTATACTTTTCCCTTCCTCTAATTCTATTGGTGTTCCTTCTATTTTCATGAGATATTTTCCCACATTTTCTTTTTTTTTCTCTCTAGCTTCCACCCATGAGAAAAAACATATAACTCTTGACTTTCTGAGTTTGACTTATTTCACTTTAACATAATGCTCCTCAAATTGCACCCATTTTCCTACAAATGACATGATTTCATTCTTCTTTATGGTTGAATAAAACCCCATTGTGTATGTAAGCCATGTTTTTATTTTTTAAATATATTTTTTTATTTGTAGATAGACACAATATCTTTATTTATTTTTATGTGGTGCTGGGGATCGAACCCAGTGCCTCACACTTGCAAGGCAAGCGCTCTGTCACTGAGCTACAGCCCCAACCACATTTTCTTTATGGTTTGGCTATTGTGAATTGTGCTGCTATAAACATGAATATGCATATTGCTATAGTATGCTGACTTTAATTCTTTAAGATAAATAATGAGAAATGATATAGCTGGGTCATATAGTGCTTCTATTCCTTATATTTTGAGAAACCTCCATACTGATTTCCATAGTGGCTGTACTAATTTATAATCCCACCCAAGTATATAAGGGTTCCTTTTCCCCACATCCTTTCCAGCACTTATTATCATTTGTATTCTTGATAGCTGCCATTCTAACTGATTGAAATCTCAGTGTAGATATGATTTGCATTTCCCTGACTGCTAAAGATATTAAACATTTTTTGTTGGCCATTTGTATTTCTTCTCCTGAGAAGTCTCTGTTTAGTTCATTTGCCCATTTATTGACTGAGTTATCTGGATTTTCGGTGTTAAGTGCTTTATACATTCTGGATATTAATCTCCTGTTTTAAGAATAGCTAGCAAAAGGCATACACCTGTAATCCCAGCAGCTCAGGAGGTTGAGACAGGAGGATCAAGAGTGCAAAGCCAGCTTCAGCAAAAGAAAGGCACTAAGCAACTCAGTGAGACCCTGTCTCTAAATAAAAACACAAAATAGGGCTGGGGGATGTGGCTTAGTAGTCAAGTGCCCCTGAGTTCAATTCCCAGTATCCCACTTGCCCCCCAAAAAGGAGCTAGCAAAGATTTTCTCTTATTCTGTAGGTTCTCTCTTCATGCTTTTATTTCCTTTGTTGTACAAAGGCTTTTTAATTGGATGCCATCCATTTATTAATTCTTGTGATCATTTCCTGGGCTTTTTTTGCATCCTACTGAGGGAGTTGTTTCCTGCGCCTATATGTTGGGGTGTTTTCTTCTAGCAGTTGTAAACTTTCTGGTCTAATTCCCAGGTCTTTGATCCATTTTAAGTGAACTATCATGCAGGGTGAGAGATAGGGATCTAGTTTCATTCTTCTACACATAGATTATCTGGTTTTCCCAGCATCATTTGTTTAAAAGGCTCTTTTCTCCAACTTAAGGACACAGTCTTTATGTGGTATAAAAATTTGTATCAGGGCTGGGTTGTGGCTCAGTGGTAGAGCACTCGCCTACGTGTGAGGCCCTGGGTTTGATCCTCAGCACCACATAAAAAAGTAAATAAAATAAAGGTATTGTGTCCAACTACAACTTAAAAAAAACTAAAAAAAAAATGTATCAAAGTTAAAGATTTCTGCTTTAAAGAATATTAGAATTACAATATAAAAATGCACCCAGCATAGCTCTTTTCAACATTAGCATCAAAGTACAGAAGTGACTTCTTTAAATCAATTAAGGAACTGACAAGTTTTTTGCATATCTCCAAAGACACCAAAGGCATATCAGTTTGGAAATGAGATGAATCTACCTATACAAGCTGAGCCACATCATGGATACTGGGTTCTGTCTTTACAATTTAATTCGGTAACAATGATGCAGCTTAGCATGCTTTTAGAAATGAGAAATATATACAGCAAACATTACATAATCAGTTCCTGGATTTATGTCCGATTTAGGAAATAACTAAGCATGTACAGATTAGAACTGCCATCACAGTTCATAATCTCCCAGCACTTTGTCAATTAGTTTAAGTTTTTGTACCCTGGATTCAGAGGATATTTTTGCTAGTGGTAATTTGTTCCAGGAAGCTGTGATTTTCTGTATCTGCCTGTCAATTCAATTTTGGGGGCAGTGGTTTGTCCTCTGACCTCAATTCTCTGATGGAGCTAGGAAGTATTTATTCTTAATATGCTCAGCTTTTTTTTCTTGTTGGGAAGAGAGGAGTGATGACTTCCAAGTTCTGTAAATGCCAGATTCGTAACTAGAAATCAGAATTCCTGTTCTTGATTGCTTCATTTTGACTTCTTTAAAAACTGTCTTGTTAAAGTTCCTGAATGTTTAGGATCTACCATCTCTTCCATGGTTAGCTTTAGAAATATTTTTAATCTGTTTCTTCAATTTTGTATATTTGGTTCCTCTGTGTACCAGGCAGTTAAACGTACCATTTTCATAAAACACCCAAGAACAAACTTGATTTTTTTCCTTTGTGTTCATTGTCTGCCACTTTATGTTATTAGTGTAGTTTTACAGGATTCTAGTCAAAAAAGGGAAAAAGACTCCCTGTGACTAAAATCCATGTCTTAAATTTTTGATTTTATTCTTAGCCTTTAGCAGAGTAATAGCAAGGGAGCAGGACTCAACTTCTTGTTAATAGTAAACTCAAAATTTACTGATATTTATTAAATATCCATATTTATTTAAATTATATAAAACTAAATCTGAAGAAAAATTAATGTGGCTCTAATCCAATAGGACAAACCAGAATTAAATAACTGCATGAGATCAGCAAGAGATGCATATGCTGCGATGTCAGCCAGTGCCATGGGTGATCCCAAGTCTCTTGCAACATTTCAACATTTGTTATTTCAGTACTATATGGCACTACTTCAGTGGGAGGAAGTGGATCCTAGGAACAGCTCAGAACTGACCATTCCTCCTTTCTGTCCCTCTCCCAAATTCAGAGGCTCTAAGTTTAGTTCCAGGGAATGACTCCCAGTGTATTGCTCCTAATGGCATGCAGACTGATGACATTGTTTGCTTCTAGATTCATTCACATTTAGTGAAATCACAATTTCTTCAAATCCACACTCTTGTCAAGTTCTGCCAGATATCTTAATAGAGCTGCTGGAGTTACACTATAGGCTTCATCATATTTTCTATGACTCTAGGGAGAATGGGTGAGCCCCCAGATCTTCCCCATATATCCAGTGAACTGTGTCCATGATATGATGTTCCCTTCAGGGTAACTCAGTGAGCAGTCAGGTCCACCAGTGAGCAGTATCACTCACGTCCCTCCCTGTGACCTGTTTTTACAGAAGTTCTTTCTTCATACACAACATTTTGGAGAGAGGGAAGAATAGAAAATCTTATATATTTTCATCTATGTTAGTTAATAAAACAGAAGTAGGTTATTCAGTTGATGAGGGTAAGGCTAGAACTATACAAGAGAGCCTGTCTTTTCTTCTTTTTTTTCCTCAGACTGTCTCTTATTCTGGTAAATGGAATATCAGGATTCTCCACAGAGTTATGTGATGACATGGCAGCCAGCAGCTGCCCTCTGGCACAGTATGTAAATGAACCCAATCACCCCTTGGGTTTTCCCCTCTCCTTTCCCTCTTTATGGAGAACACAGAATCATAGGGAGTAACTAGCTTAAGTTTGCTCTGTACTTTAACAGTAGGCAGGAAGCCAAACTGCAAATACAATGACTGGATTCAGTTTTACAAGCAAACACTGGAACTGAGTTCACCCTAGTCCGGGAAGAATGCCTCCGATCAGAACTAGCAGGAAATCCAATTCAAACAGGGTGTGTCATCCACAATTCACAGTGTGGCCTTTATTTACACTTTTCATGAAGTTCTTTGGAAATTAGACTTTCCTTTTGAAAAGGTCCCCACAAAAGACTAAATTTTGCTCAAGTGATATTAGAATTACTTTTGCAGGAAATGTGTGAATTCCTATAAGCAGCTCTCTTTGTAGAGATTGTTGTTAGCTCTGCTCTTTCTCCTTTGGTTACTGATTGTTAAGGTCTTAGAAGGTAGCAATAATTACCTCTCCCACTTCATTTCCCTTCCAACCTCTGAGCTTTCTGACATCATGTGCTTTCAACTCCCCTCTTGCCTCTGGGTCATTTGAATAATTAGTATGAAAATGCTTTGATATCCTGAGAGAATTAGGACACACATACTTTGGCCTAAGCACCTCTTGAACTGTGCTAGGAGGTTTCCATGACTGTTGTGCCTCTAGCTGGCCAAACTGTCACATGGCCTCGAGGAAGAACATAAACAACAAACACTGAGGGCCCAAAGGCATATAGTTCCACAAGGTCTAGTCAGGAGAGGTCAGGACCTTCACCTGCCATCTATGGCTGGCATTACCAAAATGGTGCTATGATTACAAAAGTGCAGAGGGATTATGGTCAGGCCCATGAAACAGTGAGACAAACGCCAGTTAGAAACATCTTAATCTCGATATATATGAGGGGAGAGTATAGAAAAAATGATGAAGTACAGGCTTCCTAAACTGAAAGGTTTACGTTATGACAAAAGGGAGAATATTTCTAATCTACACAATATTAATATGAATTTATAATATTTAACATAATCTAGCTTTAGGTATAGAATTGCCAGATTTACCAAATAAAATACAAGATTCCCAGTTAAATGTAAATTCAGAATAAACAATGTATGATTTTTTGTAGTATATGCCTCATAGTTTATCTGAAATTCATATTTACCTGGTAATATGATTCAGGTATCAATTCAAATAAATTCATTCCTAAAATAACTTTTGGTTCTGGGAGTTTGAAATTGTGATTTGAACGAATACCGTGCACCTGTGCCTGACACTTCAGGATATTCAGCTTCACAGTGTCCATTAATGGGGTCTGTAGATAATGCTGCCTTATTTTCTCCCAATACAAGAAAAGAGAGGGGCTCTTCACAACCAGTGCTCAAAAACTAAAATTTTATCACCAGAGAAACTAGGTTTTATATAATGGTACATATCACATTTCTGTTTTTTCTAGCACTTTTTGTGAAGACTGAGGCCTGATCATGCTGATTTAGTATTAAAAGAAAAATCTGAGAGGCACCCATAGGCTGCATAACACTATGTAACAAAGAGAAGAGTGAAGACTGTGGATACAACAAGACTTGGTGAGCTATACCACCAAACAGTATGGACACAGACTAACACTGAAGATAGTGAGGAAAAAAAGATGGTTACTGCATCAGTTAACCTGTAGACAACTTGTCCCCAGCTGGACTGTGGGATTTGTAAAATGCTCAAGTTTTAAGTTATACCTTTTTATCCTCTGGATCAGTTGCCCTTTCTCTCCAAAGCACACACAGTCTTCAAACCTCCCTGAACACGTAAAAATATCTTTCTCTCAAGCTGGGTCCACACTGATCCATATTTAGCCAGGACTGACCTTTGTGAGCACAATTCCCACTAGAGACTCGCTTTGTGCTATGCCTCAGTCTTCTCAATTTGGATAGAGTCAAAACTCCATGGGTTTTAGGTAAAAACACACAAGAGCAGTATTAAAGTTCAAATTCCACACACACACACAAATCTTGCTTAAAAATTTAAATCTTTATTTTAAAATGTTGCTTGCAAAACAATGCAGCAGAAACATCATCAGATATTTGTAGATATCACAAACAATGCATAATAAAGAGATTTCTCAGAAAGAGACTATACCACCTGAAGGGGGAAAAAAAAATCTGTCCAAAACCAAGAGCACTCAATTAAATAAAACACTTTTTAGGATTAAATAATGATTAAAAATAAGAAGATAGGTTTTAAAACCACATTTAAAAAATTCAGCTAAATGAGCAAAGCTACAGAGTATTGAGCATACAAAACATAGTAATATTTTGTGATTTTTTTAAAAAATATGAATGTATTTGTACTGCAATCAACCTCTGCTGCAGGGAAGTCAGGGAATTATTAGTCTAGGGTCACTTGAATAGCTAGGACATGAAAACTTCCTCTTTCCCTTTAGTTCATAGGCCCTTTGCATTTCTAGGCTGACTCTGACCAAGCCTTCAGCAGGCCCTTCCTGCTGCTGACAACTAAATGGAGAAAATAAATAAAACTTGGGGATAGGAAATATGTAAGGAAAAACACATGTGGGCAAATACAGTCACATATTACAGATGCTGCACAAACCAGAGAATCAAAGCACATGCTCCATGGAAAAGCTAGTGGGAACAGGATGATACTTTGCACCTACAATTCTTTTTCTCTTGCCCATGACTTCCTACAAACTAGAAACATCCTTCATTAACATAAAATGCTTCCCTATCTTGCTGATTAGATTTCCATCTACAAAAACTAACTGGAATGCTTCTCAAGGCAAAATGGATCTCCTCCATTAGAACAGACAACCACAACAACATCTGGGTATTGTTTTTGGTATCCTTCTCATAGGTTCTGTGTTTTCTTCATTTAGAGACACACATGGTCCATAATATCCAAGACAGAGATTTCTGGTTTTAATTATTTGTGCTTAAGAAAAGAATGAATGTGAAACATGGTTATTGCCAGTTTATTAGTCAAAGCCCCTCCAATTAAATCTCTATGATAAAACTAACATTATCCTCAAATTTTCCTTGGAGAAAGCCCCTTAGAAAGAAATCATGCTTCCAAGACATAAATGGATTCTATCCAGTCTGCTTCAGCTCTGACATTTCACACTCAGGAATCTCCCCATTGTCACATGACTTGGATCCAATATCCATTCTTAAAATGCTACATGTATCTTTCTTATTTTACTTCTGAGCGAGGCCATGTATATACTTATATAGAAGCTGTATGGTGTAGTAAGACATTTTGGCAATTTTGACAGCCATGTCCTGGGAAAATTCTTTTTATTTTATTTTTCCCCTGATGAAAAGTAACTAATTATTTATTTAGTTTTGCTCACCTACATTCCATTAATATTAAAGGCAGAATTAGTTGTAACTGTCTTGGGAAAATTCTTTGAGCCCCATCCAGTTTGTTCAAATTTTCACAGGGTCATCAACAACTCAAGAAAACTTGGCATTCCTAGTTTACAGTATGCTAAACACTAGAGCAAGTCTAAGACAAAAATGGCCTTTCTTCTGAAGTCATGTCCAGTGTCATATAACTCTGTGGTCATAAAACTCAGTTTTGTATAACTCAGTGTGAACTGGTGGGAAATTTAGGAAACCATCTGCAAATTTACAATAATGCCTCCTTTACATGTATGTTAAGAATGAAAAGAAATAGCCCTAAACCAGCCATTAGAGAACACAGTTATAGAGGTTATTCAAACAATTTAAAATAGAACTCCTATGTGATCTAGCAATGCTGCCACTGGATTTAAACCCAAATAAAGTGAAATCAGTTTGTCAAAGAGATATCTGTACTCTCCTGTTCATTGCAGTATTTGATTCACAGTTGCCAAGAAATGCAAAGTACCTAAGTGTCCATCACATAATGAACAGAAACCAGGCATGGTGGTGCATGTCTGCAGTCCCAAAATCTTGGGAGGCTGAAGCAGGACGATCACAAGTTCAAAGCCAGCCTCAGCATCTTAGGGAGATCCTGTCTCAAAATGAAAAATAAAAAAGGCTGGAGATGTGGCTCAGTGGTTAAGTGCCCTTGGGTTCAACTGGAAGGAAGGAAGGAAGGATGGAGGGAGGGAGGGAGAGAGAGGGAAGGAAGGAAGGGTAGAAGGAAGGAAGGAAAATGAACGGATTAAAGAAAATGTGGTACATACACATGACAGAATACTATTCAGCAATAAAAAGAATGAAATCCAATCATTTGCAGCAATATAGATAGAATTAGAGAGTATTAGGTTAAGTGAAGTAAGCCAGGCACATAAAGATAAGTACTGCATGATCTCATTCATGGCATCTAAAAAAGTTAATCTCCTAGATGTTGAGAATAGAATGGTGGTTACCAGGGACCGAGGAGAGTAGGGGCAGGGAGGAATGGGAAAAGGATGATCCATGGATGCTAAGTTATACATAGGAACAAGAAGTTCTGATGTATTACTATACAGTATGGTGACTATAGATAAAAAATAAAGTTCTGTGTATTTCAGAAAGTTAGAAGAAAGGGTTTTGAAAGTCTTCACCATGAAGAAATGATGAATGTTTGAGGAGATAAGTATGTTTAACTTGATTTACACATCTGCAGTGTATACACGTATGGAACATTACATGGTACCCTATTAAAATGTACAATTTTAGTGTTTTTTATGTATCAATTAAAAAAAATAAAAATTAAATAATTAAAGAAGAATTAGCCCCCACAAAGCATTAAATATGTATAGCTTCTTTTTTAAAGAAGTAAGATAGGAATTTTCATGCCAACATTGTATTGGGCTGCCAAAGGTCAGATTGGGTGGGGTGGGAATTGGCTAAGGGACTAAGAGAGAAAATTCAAGATTTTTAAGCTAAATGTTAAAAAGAACAAACAAAATAGTCTTTAGTCAGATTTCTTGGAGCTTTCCTGATACAAGCATAAAATGCAACAATTCAAGTTTTGTTTAACTTATATCAAGGAAACATTCAGAATGTATACCAATTTCAGTAAGAAGCAAAATGATGAACAGAACAGGTTCCTGCCATCTGTGGGGCTCACAAATGCCAAATTATTAATGAGCCAGGGGATCATTACAAGCTAGTTGATCAATATATGAATGTGAAATAATACTTATTAAAAAATGTCTCCCCACATTAAAAGAGGCATATTGCTAAAATTCCTTTTTAGAATTTTTCAGAAAAATTGAGAAACAGAAATAACTAACCAGGAACCAAGTAATAGATACTCCCTATTCAAAGTTCTTGCAACAAGAGTATTTTATTTATAGTAAGTTCAGATTATAAAATCCTTAGTAGCTAACCCTCCTTTTTCCCATATGACTCAGGATAAATTTGTGTTATATTTATTGGTGCAAAAATCTGATATAATGGCAAGAGGGAGTATTTTAAAATCTGTTAGATTCTGTGCTTATGGACTAATTCAGTTATTTTTTATGTGCCTTGTTTGTAATTTTTTTAAAGATCATGTACCCAATCAAGCTGACTTACTTGTAAGTTATTCATACAGATAAGATGCCAGGGTATTAAATTAGGGTGAGGCTTATTTCTTACAATTGTGAATGCAAATGCATATTTGTAATCTTGCATATTTTGTCAGTTTCCTTTCAGAATGATAAAAGTGCCCCCCTGCCCAAACTTTGCTATATAGCTTATAAGAATGTATAGCCAGGTCAGAGAACAGCCAATTCTGTCATATTCTTCTTCTTAAAAAAAAAAAAATTTTTTTTAGTTGTAGATGGACACAATACCTTTATTTGTTTATTTTTATGTGGTGCTGGGGATTGAACCTAGCCTCACGAATGCTAGGCAAGCGCTCTACCATTGACCCCCTTTCGTATTCTTGATCATGCATTTCCAGTTACTAAAATAATTCCAACCTATAGTTCTTTGATGGAATCTTAAAGCTTAGATGTCAAAGGTTTTATGAACTATTCACATCTCTTCACCTTGCTAACACAGACTTAAAAAATAACATAAGATGTGATAATAAAATGCACTATCATCTCAGTTCCAGTGAGTGACTGTCATTGACTGTATGCTTCCTACCACATCAGGCACAGTATCTGAATACACAATGAAACCATCAGAACATCTTGTCTGAATAGACAGAAAAATATCATAAAACATGAAAAATATTTTTTCAAAAAAGGAAATGTTAAACATTTGTACTCTGCTACTAAAGATAATTTGGAGATGTCTAAGAAAAAAATGATTACTAACAAGAGAATGTCCAGTCAACCAGATGGAACACTAGGTTCTATAGTTGAATTGCTATTATAAGTTCCTGAATCTAGCAAGGAGAATGCTATAAGAACTTCATCTAAACTTGTAGTAGGCCTGCATGTCCAGGCTGGGATAAAACTGGAACTAACAAAGCTGCTGGCTACCTGTCAGACCCAAGTACCCATGAAGCGCTACTGATAACTTTTCCATGTAGAGTCTATCTCTGAATATTCATTGAATAGTCTATAATTATTTAAAATGTTTTTAATTCCTTAAAAGAACAAAGTAAAAGCTCACACTATAGAAAATTTAGCTAAAAAGAGAAGAATGAAAAAGAATAGCTATCAACATAAGAAACAGAACATATAGGGAAGAAACAAGATTGTATGATGCATAAGAATATATTTTATGATAAAGGAAACATTTAAGAAAAGCCTACTGCCCTCTATGCACTGAGAGCAGCCCCTACAGGGGCCTGTGGTCATGGATATACACATTCCAGTAAGCAATGGGTATGTGTGGGAAAGGGAGGGCTAATATCAAAGTAGAGAAATACTGATGAGGAACTCTGCATTTTGTTGCTGATTTTCATTTTGTAGGTAACAGTGACTAAATTTTTTACTGGGGTATTTCAGAATTTAAAAGTGTGTCCTGACTGGATATGGTGGTGCATGCTTGTAATCTCAGGGACTTGGGAGGCTGATGTAGGAGGATCACAGGTTTGAGGCCAGTCTTAATAACTTATGTGAGGTCCTAGACAACTTAGCAAGACCCTGTCTCAAAATGCCCCTGGGTGTGCAATCTTCTCTTGAAAAAAAAAAAAAAAGTGTATCATGTGTGCAACATCAAGATTTATTAAATGAAATACCACTTCATGTTGATGTATTACAATAACAATTATTAAAAACATGAAAAATAACAAGTGTTTGTGAGAATTTAGAGAAACTTAAACTCTCTTACATCGCTGGTGGAAATGTAAGCTGTAACTACGCTGCTGGGGATATAGTTCAGTAGGAGAGCACTTGCCTACCATATACAAGTCCATGGATTTGATACCCAGCAATACAGATGTTTTTTTTTTTGTGTGTGTGTGTGTATGTGGTGAGGAGGTAAAGATATGGCTTCTATGAAAAACAATATGGTTGTTCTTTAAGAAGTTCAACAGAATCACCATTTAATCTAGCAATTCCACTCCCATATATACATACATACATATAACTGAAAGCCGGGACTAAATAGCTACTTGTACACCTATGTACATAGCAACATTATTCACAATAGCCAGAGTTGGAAATAAATCAAATGCTAATCTAATTTTTCACCTTTTAGCAGAGGAAACTGGTAGATATAAAAGTTAAGTGACAAGCTTATTGTCAAGGAGCAAATGAGAATTGAAGCTTACAGCTACTGGGTGTCAAATATGCAGGTTAAGCTTCTATAACACTGTGTGCTACCCCTCTCCCTATGGGGCCTCTGTTCAAATAACATGTGCTCTTCTTTTTACCAATATTTTAAGAAACAATTTTTAAAAGAGTGTTCTATGATTCTGTTATTCCTTGTGGTTAACACATAACCATTAAAGTTTTTCAGCAGTCTATGAGAAAGATAGACCTCAGAAACAGAAGGATGTGATGACTTCTTTGAAAGTAGTCATCACTGCCAGTGAAACTGGCATGCTGTTTTGGGTGTCTCAAAGCATGATATGAATATAATTTACAGTATGCTGTTTATATTTCCAATTTTTCCTTTTAAGAAGTTTATATCTGTCACATATATGTTTTCCTTATCTCACTCACTAGATTGTGTTTTTATTTTGTGTCTCTCAAACTACTTTCAGTTGGCAGCTTAGAATCACCTCAAAAGAAACCACTCCCCCTAACTTCAGCATAGATTTGAGCACACCCTCCTTAAATTTTGGGTCAAGCAACTCTATGTGTATTTTTGTACTCACATCCCTCCCTGCCAACAGTGAACAAGGAGCACACCATCCCTTTCTTTGCATCCTCAGCACTGGTACAAAAAATTATTTAGTAGTGTTTGTGGAGCTGATGAATATGCTGAATGACAAAGAAATCTTAATCAGTAGTTAGGTTCAGACAATTGAACAAATAAATATAAAACATACAGGACAGAGCCAGGTAACAAATCTCTGTTCCACCCCCCTCAATTCTGGCCAGCTAATATATAAAGTTTTTAGTAAACTGTTATTCAATTCAGAGACTTCTTCTTTTTTTAATTCTTTTTTTAATATTTATTTTTTAGTTGGACACAATATCTTTATTTATTTTTATGTGGTGTTGCTGATCGAACCCAGGGCCTCGCACATGCTAGGCGAGCGCTCTACTGCTGAGCCACAACCCCAGCCCAAAGACTTCTAATAATAAACATAAAAGTTGCAATACCAGGAGTTTTTTCTGGACCAACCCCTACATGTAAGGGTTAATGTGACTGACATATTCTAGATCCCACTGTTAGTCAATACTGTAGCCTAAAGAGCCATGTGGTTCACCTGTGGGGCAAGTGGCAAAAGACAACAGTTAGTGACTCCAGAAAAAAACAACCTGTTTTCCAAATTCTAATAATAGACTATAGAAAAATACACTTAGACACACACCTAACCTAAGAACTTTTAGTCATCTTAAAGGTATTAGCAAGGATCCCATCCCCAAGCAACAGTCACTCCTTCCTCTAAAAAAGAAAAAAGAACATTATATTCACATATTTTGCTTGCTTCAGCCAAGAGCTCAAAAAACCCCTTCAATCCCTACTTTTGCTGGATTAGTCCACTGTATACTATGAGTCAGCACTTCTCCACATTTCTGGAAATTCCTTACCAGCAACATGATCTAAAACAGGAAGCCAGCTTTCCATTTTAATGTACAACAGGAAGTATTCAAATAGATTTCACCTAAACTGGAGAACTCTTGTTAGTATAACTGCTGTTATATCAAAACAAATGAGAAACTAATGAAAGGCACTGATTTTAAAGATTATTTTATTTTAAAATGTAGATACACGATCAGGATTAGCTAAATCAGTATAATGAATTTGAACAAAGGTACATCAGTGGGTAGGAGAAAAATACAAGTTTACCTTTCCATTTATCTGTTGCACACATTATATAGCTCTGGCACCCTCAGATATGTTTGTTATATTAAGAATTTGGTAAGTTTTGTTTTGAATATCTGGTTTGAACAGTAATATAATGGGAAGTAATAACATTGGAAATGCAAATATTTGAGGAAAAAACAGTAACAAAGGCTAAAATAGAACTTGCCTCTTTTCAAAGAATGGCTTGAATTTATTTGAATAGCACAAAATACTATTCCCCCCCCCACCCCCCGTACTAGGGATTAAATGCAAGACCTCTAATACTGAGCTACTCCATAGCCCTTTGTAATTTTATTTTAAAATTATTTATTTATTTTTGAGATAGGGTCTTGCTAAGTTGCCAAGGCTGGCATCCAACTTGCTATCTCCTGCCTCAGCATCTGAGTAGCTGTCATGGGCATGTAACACAGCAATTGGCAAAAAATACCCTAATGGATCACAGAGATTTTTTGCTCCAGAAGTTGACTTTTCAGAAGTTTAACAAACCTTAAAACAGTCTCTAGATTAACTATAGGGTCACTCATCAGGGTTCCTGCTTTTATATTTAGAAAGCTGCTTTCACAGTTAAAATTTCCCTACTTCTTAAAGAGAGTTTCAAGATTTAAGTTCAGTGAAAAGCCAAACAGCTCAGCTATTACAGTCATTAATAAATGTATTTAGCGTTTGTGCAGCATCAAAATGTAAGACATCTGGTTCTAATTTCAATTTTGGCCGAGAATAAAAGTACCTCCCCCACAATACTTTGATTATAAACTGTTCTTTTCCTCCTCTTTTTTTTTCTTCTTTGGAAGCTGTTGTCCTTCATTCTTGCTGGAAGCCACCTGACCACTGCCAGGAAGAGGAATGCAAAACATTCCCAGGAGTGGCCCTGACGTCAGGGCCACATTCCACCTCTCCACAGTCAGGGCTGTCGGGAAGCTCTGGCCTCCAGCAAAACCCCTAGAAGAGATAGCAGCTGGGCCTGCACTAAATCATACTAAGAACTCCTTCATATTGTACTTTAAAAATGGACAGTATCTTGTGAATGCAGTGGGAAGGTGGTGGGTGGACGGATGGAGGGAAGACAAGAGAGAAAGCCAGAGAGGGAGAAAGAATAGGAACAAAAAGAGCTGGCTTTCTAAGAGACATTACTGTTAATCTTCACAACTATTTTTTGTTTGTTTGTTTTTGTGGGTGGAAAAAAGGGAAAAATAAGTAAGTAGCAATCTTCAGATGTCCATTTATCTTAGGCATCAGAGTGTAGACTGATTGAGATGAACAACAGAAGAGTTTGGGCTTCAATCACCAGGCCTTCCTCTAGTAAACCACCTAGAAGCCCTGTCTCCAAACCCTTCTTGGGAGGAAGACAAAAATCCCATTCAGGGATGCTTTAGAAACACTAAGAAAGCAGTTGGTTCATTTTTAATAATGAGACATACTGAACATAGAAAATTGCACATATGGTTGGCATATAACATTTTGTCAAGATTGTGATTTATATTTCTTAGATTAATAATGAAACTATTAAGAATCTTGTTCTAACTATATCACAAGGTTATAAGATATTAAAGTACTCAGATGTTATTTGACTTCTCTGTTTGGTGGGTGTTGTAACATGTTACTAGGTAAAGATACCTGAAGTATATAACTGGAAATTTCATCACAGTTGTCAAAATATGCACCTGTAAATGGCATTCTCCTAGGCCCTAAAGGTAACCGAGTTTCTACCTTCTGCATAGAACAAATATCAAAAGGCCTAGATGCCAAATCATTCTGAAAAAATACAGACTTAGGGATATTTATAATGTCTCCTGCATACCCACCTCCTAGCTGTACCCCGTGTGGTCACAGACAGGAAAGTCAGCATTGCAGATGCTGCCTCAGGGCTTCCTGACTTTCATGAGGGTCAGGAACAGTTGAGGCTACAGAGTAAGTATCTGGAGGCAAATAATGCATGATGAACATAATAAGCAAGAGGACCAAAGTAATGGTTTAAGTTATAGGGATATTTGGTGATAGACAGTTAATGAGGGGGTTCCTAGAACCAGAATAGCTGAGAAGCATGGGAAACTCTGGTCTGAGCTGTCAGTCAAGTGACAGAGGCCTGATGTGATCCAGCATGACTGTACCAACAGTCCCTCTTCTTGGCCTAGCTGAGTCAGTTGGAGGTCTACAGACTCTAACTAAAGGAGAGAGGTTGGGTCCTTTAAGGAAAGAGTATTCAATAATCTCGTCATGTAACTTAAAATTGCCATTCTGCCCTTTCCCAATGGATATACAGCTACTTTGGAGGAGAAATGGAAATAACCAAAGCTCTCAGGATTTGTTAGATGTTGTACCTGAATTGATGCTAATCCTCAAGGGATACCTGGGCATCCTGTCGGTTAAGTGGAAGGCTTCATGAGTGTCAAACACAAATGGAGTCTATCTTATGATTACCTGTCTAGAACCTGAGTTTACACATGGAATACATACTCACAAATAGACAGAATTTCCACATTTGTGCCTGGACTCATGTACAGTAGTCCTCCCTCAACTGTGGGGATATATTTCAAAACTTCTAGTATTGAACCCTATCTGGCTTTTCCTATATTTAAATAACCATGAGAAAGTTTAATTTATAAATTAGGCACAGTAAGAGATTAATAATAATGACTAATAAAAGTTTATGCTGTAATAAAAATTATGTGAATGTGATTTCTCTCTCTTTCTCTCAGTATCTTATTGTATTGCAGATCTCAGCAACCTCAATTTTTGGTTTTCTTTTCATAAGTCAAGAATTTTCATCATAGCTTCTCTTTTTACATCCAAATTGACAGCACTACAACTCTGGCACTTTGAGGCCATTACTAAGTAGAATAAGGGTTATGTGAATAAAAACACTACACTACCACAGTTGAACTGATAACTGAAAAGGCTAAGTGACTAATGGGCAGGTAGTGTATAATTGTGGATATGCTGAATAAAGGTGATGCTTCCTGGCTTCAGGTAGAATTACACTAGATTTCATCACGGTATTCAGAATTATATACAATTTAAAACTTATGAAGTCTTGCTGGGCACAGTGATGCACACCTATAATCCCAGAGGCTCAGGAGGCTGAGGCAGGAGGATCGCAAGTTCAAAGCAGAACTCAACAACTGTGGGACACTATGATCAACTCAGGAGACCCTGTCTCAAAATAAGAAATAAAAAAGGATTGGGGAATGTGCCTCAGTGTTTAAGTGCCCCCTGGGTTAACTCCCTGGTATCAAACAAACAAACAAACAAACAAAAACAACCCAAAACAAAACAAAATTTTCCCCCACTTCCCAACTTACAAAGTGTTTATTTCTGGAATTTTTCACATAATATTTTTGGACTGCAGTTGACTTAAGGTATCTATAATTGTGGAAAGCAAAACTTTGAGTAATGGGGGACTACTGTGATATGGATTATTATGAATAGATGAACTGAAGAGAGAAGCTTTGAACTTCTCTGCCAAATGACAATGCTGCTTCTTTTGCAGTAAGCACAAAGATTAATGCCATCATGGAGATTTGAAAGGTATGAGTGACACCTATAACATTTCTTTTTTAAAAAAAATTTTAATTGATTAAAAAAAAATGACAGCTGAATGCATTGCAATTCTTCTTATACAGCACAGTTTTTTTTTTTTTTTTTTTTTAGTCTCTGGTTATATATAAAGTATGTTGACACCAATTCTTGTCTTCATACATGTATTTTGGATAATGATGTCCATCACATTCCACCGTCCTTGCTAATAACTCCCTGCCTCCTCCCTTTCCCTCCCACCCCTCTGCCCTATCTAGAGTTTTTGTGTGTTAGGTCTATGCAAAAAATGTTAAGGTCTTTGAGAATGACAGTGGTTTACCACAAACTTAATCAGTATGCATCTCCAATAGCAACTGCTGATCCAGATGTGGTTTCCACCAGAGCAAATCAACACATCTCTTTATCTGGTGTGCAGCTATTGATTTGACAAACAATGTGTTTTTTCCTATTCTAATAAGCAGACAGAGCAGAAAGCTACTTGTTTTCACCTAGCAGGGCAGCAGGATACTTTTAGCTAATTCCAGACTTGTGCCTTCACCCAGTCCACAGGAACATTAATCATTTTATTGCCTCAGAGGACAAGATGACATCATGCTAATTGATTTGTTAGCAGAAACTAATAGGTACCTAAAGATATCCTGGTAAGATAAGTATGTGCCAGAGGGTAGAACATAAATACTGTAAAAATTCAGAAGCCTGCTCTCTGAGTAAAATTTCTATTGGTGCAATGAACTAGATGCATCTTCCAAAGTGAAAAATGTACTTTGCATCAATTCTACCAAAAAAGAAAAACCAAAAAAAAAAGGAAAAAAAGATGCCTACTGGATTTTGGAGGCAACACATGCCACCTTTAATGCACTGCCCTAACATATTAGTGACACATAAAACTACCAACATTAAGTAAAGCTGAGAAAAAGCTCTCCCTATGGGCCAGGGCAGACTGCAAGCAACTCTCTCCTCAGTCTTGTGACCAATGGGAATATTCATAGCTGAATAGGATACATGGAGACAAATTAGAAAAGTGGAAAGTCCCAAGGTTTGGGGGCCAAGTCATACTCTATTCAGCAAGTTTTCCTTTTAATAAATAAATCTGGCTTGATGCTGGGTCCTAGTGGGGACCAAACACCTGGCCATATGTATAACTCTGAAACTTTGAGCAAAGCATACTATCTAACCACGGGACTCATGAACTGGGTATTATCTGATTCACCTGACTACAAAGATGAATATGCCCAGGAACAGTGTCCTCAAGTGAAAGTTGTGTAAGTAGCATATTTGAGTGTAAGAAGCTTAAATTCTTAATATACTTACTACATCTGCTGTCCTTCACTCAACCCACATTTAGAATCACATGAGAAAGTCTGTATGACCAGTTGTCTGAGGAGAAAAGGGGTACAGATGGACTGATATAATAGGGTAGTAGCTGGAGATAGACGGTTACAGCTTTACAACTCCCCCAGACGAAGCCCTGACAGATGAGCTTCATGTGGCACATCTTAGGTCCAGTTTGCCCAGGGAAAATGGTATAAGTTATGGACCACACTGATCCAGTATTGATGTGATGCTGGGACAACTACAACTACTTAGATGGTAGGGAACATTCTTTGAGGGTACATCTATCTCATGGACCAGCTGACCCCAGACCAAAGATAGCTTACATTGAGAGATATAGTGATTTACAAAGAGCCAAAGTTTAGAAAGACAAGGACTGGCAACAAGATGGTTGGGAAGACATATGTGGATAGATATCTTGAACAAAGAATGAGGGATAATATATGTATTCTACCTGAATGCTTACTGGACAGGAGACTCAAAAAAACAGGTAGATGTGAAAAATCACTGTATAAATATTGGACTGAATCCCAGTGGCTTGGGAGTCTAAGGCAGGAGGATCATGAGTTCAAAGCCAGTCTCAGTAACAGCGAGGCACTAAGCAACTCAGTGAGACTCTGTCTCTAAATAAAATATAAAATAGGGCTGGGGATGTGGCTCAGTGATCAAGTGTCCCTGAGTTCAATCCCCAGTACCCTCTCTCCCCCCAAAACTATTGGTCTGACACCTTTAAAAAAAAATTTTTTTTTTAGTTGTTGTGGACCTTTATTTAATTAATTTATTTTTATATGGTGCTGAGAATTGAACCCAGTGCCTCACACATGCCAGACAGGCACTATACCACTTAGCTACAACTCCAGCCCTGGTCTGACACTTTTGACAGTAGTCCGGGGCTAACTGATGGGCTTATAAGCAAAGTGACCACAGTGGTAAAGGCAACATCTCGGACAGCTTTTTATCATGGCTAACCTATTTATTAACACTACACAGTATCCAAATTGACTGAAGCAGCATTCAATCATGAGGGACCATCCAGCTGCAGAGTAGGATGCTAATTACATTGATCTCCTTTTATCAGAGCAGCACAACAATGTATTCTCACTTAAACATACACTTAGGTTTGGATTTATCTTCCCTGTCTGCCAGCAATACTATAAGTGAAGTTCAATGTACCAGGTGACATACTTTGGCTCCCTTAGGGCAAATACACCATTAAACAGGTAGAAAACACTTGTAGAAATAAGAGTTTTAATAGTTATGCATGTTTTTTCCCCCTTTTCAGGATATCTAGTTTATGCGTATTAACTCAATGTTTTCTCCCTTTGGTATATTTTATATAGGGTGTGTTCGTGATTTTAGTCTTGCAATTTCACTCGACAAGGGTACAGAATTACAGAATTCCAAGACAGAATAGAGCCTAAACTAAAGGAAAGGCCAACATTTTGAGAGCCTGCACTAGTAGAACTAACTGAAGGAACTGAAGAGATATAGGGTTGCCCTGTAGTTATGTCTATAAGGGAGACCTGTATCATGACAAGTGTAAACATGATGTTGCTGTGTTGTTTGGAAATATAAAAGGCTTATGCCAAATGTGTTGGTGGCATGCACTTGCAATGGCACTATTTGCTGAAACTATTTCTTAGCCTCACTACTTTCCCTGCTTCACTTCCAGGTAAGCAGCATTCAAATATACTCTTTCTGCTTATACAACCCAGACTGAATTCTGTAGTATGTAACTCGGTGGATATGCAGCAATACTATAAGAATCAACGGAGATAATAAAAACAGAAATAGTTTGAACATATACATATAGAAGGTATAATATTCTATTTTATAGATTAAGATTGAGAAAATAATGAGCCAGGAGACATTAGATGAGTTAAAAGGGTAACACTAAAAAAATAATAATTATATACATTGATATCATGTATAAGCTATAGGATAGGTGCACATGTAGGTTGAGTAGTGCATGAACAAGTTAAAAGTTCAGAGAGAGTAAATACTTATATTCTCAGCTGGGCTATCTGGTCAATACTTCCAGTTTTGTCACTGGAAAATAAAATGGAGTAGTTCACTATGGACTAGTTGAACATAAAGACAAATGTGGCAACTCTAAGTTGGTATGGTAAACTACAAGTCTCCACCTAGTAGACATGATACTCTATCCCAGATAGCAAATAATAAGTCCAAAAAATAGCACCAAATATCTAGGATATATACACAGTGATGTTCAAGGAATTTGGTCTTATTACATTCAACAGCACATGGGAAATCTTCCTAGAGACTACCTGGGAAGGTTTATAAACACTCAGAGTATTATTTGCAACCCATAACTTAATTATATCATTGCTTTTTTAAGTAAACAGTTTTTTCAATAATATTCTGGGTTGCCTTTAGAAACTGATTTGATTACAACGTATTAGATCATAGAAGAGTGTATTTAAACCCATACTGTGTTGATAAAGAAATTACTGAGGGCTGGAGTTGTGGTTCATTGGTAGAGCACTTGCCTAGTACATGTAAGGCACTGGGTTAGATTCTTAGCACCTCATTTAAATTAATAAAGATCTATCAACAACTAAATTACTGACCCTAATTAATCAACATAAAATAACTGCCAATGTCCATGTTTGTTGTATGAGGATGAAGCAAACAAAAGAACGAAAAAGATGTGCATGGTGGCACACGCCTGTAATCCCAGTGGCTTCAGAGTGGCTCCAATGGCAGGAAGATCCTGAATTTAAAGGCAGCCTCAGCAACAGTGAGTCCCTAAACAACTCAGTGAGACCCTGTCTCTAAATAAAAT